AACATGATTACGGCGAGAGAGACGGTTGTGCGCTACGATCCCGCCCCCAGATTTTTTAGCATTCAAGGTTCAGAAATGCGTGTGCCGACCAGCGTGGAACAGGAGAGTGCATGAATCCAAAGTAGTGTATTCAAGGATGTGATTGCCGGGCACCGTCGAACAAAAATACCACAGTCCAATCGATATGAGAACAGAACGCGTAGGGTCAGCCACCAGAAGACGCAATCATAGGTTAAAACTCACGGTTACCCCGGATAGTGTTGCCGCGGCGCCCACCATAGCATAAGCTCCAGGGTTTACACACCACGGATCACCTTTGCACACGCTGAACATGGCGAGTTGGGGATGCGTCCAGTATAGCCGCTGCATACCAAGGCCAACGATGCGCCCGAAGCACGCACCGACTCTGAAAGTTTGTTGAACAGAGACATGGTTAGTAAACGTTAGGGGGTGTTTGAATAGGAGCCGATTAAAGTGGGGATCAGCCCCAGCATCAGAAGGTTTGGCCTCACATGCCTCGGTCCCCCCGTAGCCTATGTGCCGCTCAATCATGGCTCCGGTGAAAGGAACTTACCCAAGGGTGGGGATGAAGATTCCGGCGGGAAGCTTGATACCAAATGTTACTATTGTTAGCGCGCCCTTGACGACAAGTGCGACTGCAATTGCACGGGCGACGTCCCCAGCCTTTGCGGCCCTGTTCATATGAAAAATCAGAAGGCTTAATCCGGTCAACGGGATTTTGGTCATACTTGTCTGGTGATACACATAGTCCTTCGTGCCAATCTCCGGCACGACACTGTGCAAGCAAATTGTACACAAGTTCGGTTCCTCCCATCCGGGTGTAAGGATTAAGGAAACACAGGAGAGTCGTGATCAGCGTCACCTAAAGGCAAAATGTTTATTTGCCGTAGCAAAATCCTATTTAGATATCCACGTACCAAAGCAACCTCGGCAACAGGATGCCTCTTTATCCAGGTCTTGTTGCGCACGTCACGACTCCAGCGGTAGTTGAGCTTGGAAAAGTAAGCCCCGTACAGACCCTACGCGAATAGATCTTAGTTTACTAGGACGTCGTTGGGGCATGACATACGCACCCCAAACACTCCCAAAATCAAGAACAACCCAAGTTCGTACCAGTGCCATGCCTTGGTATAAGTTACGTGGAAAAGCACGATCTAGGAGGAAAAATAACAGTTAGTCCAAGTCGATCCCTAGAATCAGCCACGCTTCGCCGACAACCAATCATGTTGGCCGTTGACTCCTGCCCACCGCACCCAAGTCGATAACTGGAGCTCACCTTGCCGGTTCCAAACGGGTCCATGAACCTCAGGGTGGCAGCCGCAACCATCGCGCAGAAGAAGCTGCGCCACATGACTTTCGGGGGGAAGAAATAAGAGACCTCTTCAAGTGAGAATAACACTCCTCCAATAGGCGCTCCGAACGCGACTGCCACTCCAGCTAGAGAACAGTCAGTTAAGGCTTCAGTAGATAAGAGTTGACCTGCCTGCACACGCGGCACTGAGAATCTCCCTTCGCTTTCCTTCGTTTGTCTCGTATTTTGAAAAATATCGCGAAACAATGTTCCCGATACAGCTTGCAATGTGTACAAACGGACCTTCCTTGCCTGTAGGTCGGTGAAACGTCAGAAAGCTGATCGAGGGGCCGAGAAGATCAACCCACCTAATGAAAGCCCGCTGGCAACGCTCAGCGCCAGCCCAACCGACTTGGTAAACAGTGTTCGCCCGCCCAGATATCCATGCATAACGAACCCGGAGAGAATTGTCTTGATTTCAGGGATGCCACTTCCAGCAGCCTAGGGTACATGAGGCACGTTCGTTAGTGCCGTTCTGCATCTGTCGAGCTCAACAACTTACAAAGTACAAGACTTTCCTAGGTGCAGCTTCTGAGCTGAACATGGGAGGGGTCGAGGTACCCGTGTCCTTTCTCGCTGGGTCAAAGGCGGGGCCTAAGACACCGGAGTCTTTGCTGGTTATGAATGAGGTCGATGCCGTCAAATTGATGGTAAGCAGTGACGATGCAAGCGCCAGTACGAGCTAGCATAATGGTTAGCCGAGCACCACGAAAGAAGACGAGAGCTCACAGCGATTATCATGTACGAGACATACTCGATTGCCCATGATTCGAGTCCATACCACGAGCTGCGTTTACCGTTCTCGGGCCCGAACACATCTGCCCATGTCGTCCAGGCATCGCAAAGCTCAACCCCAGAGGGCATACTAGATATCCTCAAGCTCTGGCTATCGACGCTAAGAGGGCAGCAGAATCGTTGCGCGCGCCACCACCCCTCTGAGCAGTAACCTTCTTTGATGTCGAATAACCATTGCTCGCCACGGACAATCGCAAACGCAATTACCGCGGTGAGGAGGCCTACGATGGTGACTACAAGCCAGCCAATGCTCCGGTCGGCAGCATTGAGCAGTCGACCGCGGGCTGACCGTCGGCGACGGATTCGCAGCGTTCGCGCCGAGTCCTTGATCTACGCCAAGCAGGTGAATGGGTCAGCTGACAATTAAATAAACACGGGCATACTGAATCGTGTAGCCAGTCGATGGACGTAAACGAGCTATACCAGACTCGAATGCCATTGATTCGCGCGCCTTCGTCCTCCAAGCCCTCTCGGATAGTGTCCACGTTCCGGCCGCCATCGTATGATGTAGGAGGACGGCGCCCAATCGTGCCAAAAAAGGTCGAGTTTGGGCGGCTGCGCAGACTGAGGCCAAGGAGTGGGGCGTCTGCACCAGAAGGGAAGGATTGGGCCATTCGCTCTGTCTGCGCACGGGGCACCGTGCCATATGAAGGGAGGCCGGCGCCAGTAGCGCTGTTCGCCGGGTCACCCGGAAATAGTGTTGCAGTAGGAGAATGGTCAGCGCTGCCGATGTTCATCAACCGACGTCGGCGCCATATAGGTGACGTGGGTGCACTGAGTGGGCCAGGGCGCACAGGAAGCGACGCTGCCGACGCGTGCAGGTCCTCGGACATCGTCGGAGCTTGCGAGGGTGACCTGTGCGGGGCTGACGGCAAGGGGGAAGGCCGGGTAGAGGGTGAGCGGTGGGTCGGACTGCTCTGCGAGTGGTGGACTCTGCTCTGGGCGTTAGCGGCGGTCAACCAGTTTGATAACCATGCGATTACGTTACAGCTCCGTCATTGGTCAGCGTTTGGTTGTCTTCCGACATCCGCCTTGTGGCCATTTTAGTGGGTTGTCGCTGAGCGCTGAGCTGGTCGGGGGACGGTGGTGGAGAAACCTTGGCTCGTTCTGACCAGTCCACCGTTATCCGGCTCACCACATCATGCCAAGGAAGGTGTGGCTCCGAGATCTAACCGACTGTAGGTCGGCGATGTCTTGCGATATCTAATGATATTCGGCTCCCTCAGTCGAATCGCATAAGACTCTCGAACCTCGCTGGTCTGACAAAGTCTTCGCTAATATTAGCATAAATTCCGACATTGGGGGTTATCCAGAGCTGTTGCGCCACGCGGGTGGCGAGGTGGCTATACAGTGACACTCGCGGTCCACGTGACCGCGCCGTTGTTCACGCGACGCCAGGCGATCTTCTCGTCCATCATGCCAACACACATTGCTGTTTTGCCTGCAGGTACGTTTGGGTGAACCGGCAGGGGAAATAATAACCGACCAGATAAAAGATGCGCAAAGGCAACTAGCCTCATCCTCGACGCTCCGCCCACTACGACTTCCGCATCCACGAACAGGTCTGCCTTTTGATTACCACTACTCAGAGTCCTAACTCCCCAGTAGGTCTTACTGCGCTCTTTTTGCCCCACGGATCAACGGTTCTTGAGCTTCATGCAATAGCTCCAGATGCACCACGCTCGTGGTTCGTCGGTCAATCGGTCGTCTCTGGTACGCCTGCCTTGCCTTTTTTGTAAACATTAGTAACCTCTTCCGACTAGATGGGAAACTTGTACTTATGACCCCGGTTGATCCTGCCTTCCTACTCATCCCGCTTCTACGCAAACTCCTTGAACATGCAAGTCTAGCTTCCTCGCATATGTAGCCTCCTAACGTCGTCTAGGAGCCACAACCTCCTTTCAAGCCAACCGATGACCTCATCGAGGAATTCGTAGCACAATATCCTCAGAACGACATATCCGGGTTCTTTCGTATGGATTGTGTACGACATGCGCTACGGCAGTTGTGTGACACTAAAGGTAAGCTTCACCAAGAAAACATCAAATGCAACTCTTTCCTGTTTCTGCCAGATATTCCGCCAGACATGACCGTTCAACGACCATCCAACGAACGCATTCTGGCGTTTTTAAAACGTCGGGTAGAACGGGTTTCAGCTGCCCAGGAACCTGATTCTCCTGGTTTCCAAACCCTCCACCGGCAACACCTCCGCCTCGGACTCTCGCTTGACGAACTCGGGCCGCTCACGTGTCCGAACGCGCAATCCGTGCGTGCCGGCGCCCGCATCAAGGTTGCATGCGAGGTATTAGGAGCATGGGTCGAAGAAGGGTTAATGGACGAAGTTCTCAAGACTTACGAGTAAGTTTGTTTTATTGACAGACTCATAATAACCTCTTCTGTAGTATCTCAGCGTACACTGCACATGTAGAAACCCGTGCCGCGCAAGCTCGCGCCGAACTTGTAGCAGCAACCGCAAGGGCAGAAGTCGCAGAAGTCGGAAAAGCCAAGGGCAAAAACGCAGGGGAGAAGCGAAAGGCGACTGGACAAGGGGCACGTGGGGCGGACAAGTTGAAAAAGGTAAATACCAAAGGGATGGCAGCGTTGACTACGTTCTTTGGGAAGAAAGAGTGAGCTGTTTGGGTAGGGGTATGACCCGCGGGCGTTGGACAATGTACGCTATATTTTGGGAATAGTAAAATACGCACCCGAAGAAATACGTGCGTCACTATGATCACCAGGAGAGTTTACGGTGTGAAACTGTGCAGATAAAGGACATTTTAGGTGTGTGCAATTTGAAAAGGGAATAATGCTCTCCTGAAGAACTCTGGAGCAAGCCCGGATGGTCTAGTGGTATGATTCGCCCTTAGGGAGCCTGAAAGGACCCTGAATTTCAATGGGCGAGGTCCCCGGTTCAATCCCGGGTTCGGGCCTTCATTTTTAGGCAATTTTAGCAACCCTAACCCTCTTTTTCCAGGCTGAAATCATTTAGATTCACTTAAAATATCAATTTTGAGTTTTTTAGATGAAGATCTGGGTTGTTGCATTGAAATTTGGATCCAACCTAGCTCAGGAACCTTCAAGACCCAAAATGGGTGTTGCTATTGCCTGGTGGTTGCCCAGTTTGTGTTGTTTCAACCTGATATTGATACCTTCATCAGGAGATTGCCCCCCTCCAGCAGAGTGCTCGGAGTCAACCCCCCCTCTCGATGACATGTTCGAGAGTACTCTGGGAGTGCCCACAAGTGGCTGGCCAAACAGACCCTCACAGGAGCTGGAGACAGTCAATAGGTCGTGCTATGTCAGCACTACCAGTACCCAGCGGAGTGGGCGATCAACTGTGTGCACCAGGTGTGCAGTTGGGCCTCTCAGCAAAAACCCCGGACGTAATCATACTGGGGGTTGTGTAACTAGGTAATGACCAGGTCTTACCCTCAATTACCCCGATAGATTACACTGCAGTAACCCCGCTGCTCAAACGTCACAGCATGTAATACCATAATGCAATCATGCCATGAAACCTACCTCAAACAAAAATAATGAAAAAATCGCACATTGTAGCTCAGTAGACCATGCGTGAGGTAGTTAAAATGTGTATGTATTACGCAATGAGGTACAGTAGCATCAATATAAAACAGGATGACAGTGGATACCCCTTGGTACAATGTACAGCCATTAGTAAAAGGAAAACAACATCAGTTAAAAGCAACTCACCACTCAGGACCAGTCAGCATTCAACCGGCGCCAGTAAGCCATCAGCAGGAACATGAAATGGTTATAGAAGTCATTGAAAAAATGTTGGGTTGAGGTCGGGGGGAAGAAAAATCCAGTGTCAGATGACACACCATGCTGAGACAGTTGAGCAGCAGTACAAGGGACATGTCACACCCATCTAAGTGAGCCAGGGTTGTCCGGTAGAGGTGATGGGCGTTGGCTGTGTTGGGTGCGAAAGGCATATACACATCGAGGAAAACAAGCGGGGCAGAATAGAGGTGTTGGAGGTGTGAAGGAAGGGCGAAAATAGCATGGATGTGAGCTGCATTGAAACCTGGGGACAAGTGGTCTTAATAGTCAGTGTGTGTGCAAGGGAGGGTGTATGTGCTGATTACTTACGAAGGCCAAAACCGTTGTGATCAAAGGCGAAAAGAGCAGTATCAAACACGCTGGTGTCCCACCTATCTCAGCACTTTGTGTTACACCAGGCCGATGCTCATCACACGAGATGTGTGACATGTAACCGATGCACATCGGCTCTCTTTGTGGACCCATGTGTTACCCAGAGGTGATGTGCATCAGCCTACAGAATGTAATCTGCAAGATGAGTTGTTTGCAAAAATTAGTAGATAGCCTGGTTTTGATTTTCAGCGCCGGGTCTGGGAAAGTATTTCTTGATTTTTTCAATGGATTCAAATGCCATTCCAATTCTGTTTTCACAATATGAATACAATGGTCTGGCTCTACCTTTTTGCTATATTGGGCATACCACCTTCCTAATTGGGAATAGGCAGATTGACGAGTGGCATAGTGTCACGACCTGTCAGGACGCGAGCTGAGACGGATATATCCGGCGAAGGTGGAGGCGTGATTGATCACGTGCCCTTGTTTACCGGTGGCAAACCAAGGTGGACGTGTGCGCGTTTGTGATCTTCGAGTGGCGGGATTGCCACGAGATACGGCGACTTGGCGAGAAGGAGATAGTGTGTCGAACGATGGATGCCTGGGACGAGTAGAGCAGAAGGTTCCCTAGGAACCCTAACGAGTAAAGTGGTGTACGAGAGACGAAGGTGACTAAATGACGAGTATTCAGGGTGAAGTCCTGAAAGGGGGTCCTAGGTAGTAGAGACAACAAGGTGAAGCAAGCTGGAGTATCCAGGCTTGCGCACCGCTGTATTTATACTATGTACATGAGTCATACAGCGGAATGGCAGAGACTGCGCATCGGCACGAGACGCGCGTACACCTGAGTCAAACTGCGCAGCCGAGGCTAGCGTGTACACTGAGTCAGAGTCCGAGAAGCCGAGAAGGCACACGCGGCCTAAAGCCGGTGGCGGGAAAGGGCGAGCCACGAGAAAGGTTGGGGGTGAGTACACGAACTCCCGACATTCCCCCCCCAAAAGTGATCGTCTTTAAAGACAAACCCAAAGAAAGACGATCACGAAAAAAAGAAAGGTAAAAAAGTGTACATCAGAAAGAAAATCTAAAACGGTTACTTGGGTGGCAGCCCATTGTCCGCCCAGCTAGTTTTCAGGGGCCCATCTAGCTAACTACTGGTTAACCCTTTCCGGTAGCCCATGTTCGTTCGGCCTACTCGGCTCGTTCCTTGCGGGTCTCGTCAAGACGCTCCCAGGCCTCGTACTGCGTCTCCCAGCCCATGTTTCGGCTCCAGGCGTAGTGATCGAGCCATTCGAAGAACTGGCCCTTGGACATCCCCTTTCGGAAGAGGAGATTGGCCACCTGGTCCCTCGAGAGCTCTGTGACTCGGTCGTGGTAGTCTTCGGGGACCTTGGCGCGCCACTCTCGTACCGCGTCCGCGATCCATTCCTGCATGTGGTCTGTCCGCACCCACCAGGTTCCGTCAGCCCTCCACTCGATGTCCGGGAACTGGCCTTTTGACTTGGTGATGACCCCGTAAACTGAGTCGCCAACGCACCGGTTGGCGACGTAGAGCTTTGTTCGCGCCATCTGCCAGGCGTCGTCCAGCCTTGGCCCGTCCCCCACCCATGCGAGGGGGCCGAACTTGGGGTGGTGCAGCGTGTTACCGCTGAGGTTGCAGCCCCCCCGCTCGTGGATCAGGATATATCGTAGGTCGCAGCCCGGGTCGAGCTCTGCCGCGTAGTCGAGGGCGTCCGAGAAGTTGTTGATTTTCCGGGTGTCCCAGACGTATTCGCCCACGCCGTCCTTTCGCAGGCGTCCGCACTCCTCCCGCACGATGATGTAGTTCCCCATCGGGACGATGGCGACCTTGGGCTTGGGGGCCCACTGTGCTTGTTCCCAGGCGCTGGTGTTGGCCCGGGCGTGTCGCACCTCGGGGTTGCGCCCCTTCCGTCCGCTGCCGGCGACCGTGGCGTAAGACTTGACGGCGACCATGGTTTAGTAGGAGGAGCTGGGTCAGGAGTGGAAGAGTGGATGAGGGTGATGTCCGGACTGGCCTTTCCCTTCGTCTTCTTATACTCTCGGGGCAGTGGAGCGTTGGGGTACCTCCGCCGCAGGCTGTCCATGGCGTGCTTGACTTCGGCGAATTTCTCTGCTGACTCCCACGAGTTCTCGCTCGAATCATACCCTTCCCATTTGATTTTGTATTTCAATCCCTCCTTTGTCTGTTGCCATCCCACGATTTCCTCCACGCGGTACTCTTCTTCTCTGTCTTCCGTAATAATCGGCGGCGGTCGGGGTTGGACGCGATTGAAGTGATCCTTGTGTACCGGAGTGAGAAGTCCGATGTGGAACACGTTGTGTATTCTCATTGTTTTTGGGAGCTCCAGCTCATAGGCATGGGACGAGATTTTCCTTGTTACCCTAAAGGGGCCTGCCTGTTTCTTATCGAGCTTCTTTGAGGGTCTTGTAGTTCGTATATTCCGTGTGTCTAGCCAGACTTGTTCCCCTATTTGGAAGTTCGGTGGTTCCTTGGGTTCCGTTACTTGTTGCTCCATTTTCGCCCTGGCTTCGTCCCATACCTCCCTCATGTGGTCCGCGATGTCGTTTGCGCGTGGGCTGTTGCTTTGTTGATTTGTGATCTCCCACGCTGGCGATTGTCTGTAAAGGGTCTCGAAAGCCGATTGTCCTGTTGCCGTATTGACATGGTTATTATGGCAAAACTCTGCCAGAGGTAGCCATTTTGACCAATCGTCCTGTTTGTAGTTGCAGAAGCTCCGTAGGTAGTTTTCGAGCCATTGGTTCGTTCTCTCAGCTAATCCGTCCGTTTGAGGGTGGTATGCTGTGGAGAAGCGTGGTTCGATTTGTAGCCTTTCGTAAAGGGCTTTCAGGAACTTGCTGTTGAAGGAAGATCCTCGATCGGATATTGTAATCTCCGGGAGGCCATGATGCCTGAAAACTTCCCGTGTGAAAACTTCTGCTAATTCCTCCACGTCCATACTTTCGTTGCACGGGACGAAGTGGGCTTGTCGTGAGAAACGGTCCACTATGACTAGGATGCTGTCAAAACCCATCGATGGCGGGAGTTTCACGATGAAATCGTAGTTGATATGTTGCCAGGGTCGTTCCGGCATCTCGATATTCTTCGGGGGAACACTGTTATGTGTTGCCTTTGCTTCGTTGCAGGTTCTGCATCCGTCTACATACCGATGTACCTCCTGCGTCATTCCGGGCCAATGATAACGCCGCTTGATGATCTCGAGGGTCCTTTCCCTCCCCTGGTGTCCTGCGATTGGTGAATCGTGATGTGTTTGCATGACGGCTCTCTTAATCTCCGGATCCTTTGTTGGGAGTTCGGAGACTCACCCCCAACTTTTTCTCGTGGCTCGGCTTTCTCGCCACCAGCTGTAGGCCGCGTGTGCCTTTCTCGGCTTCTTTCTCTGACTTGGTGTACGCGTCTGCCTCGGCTGCGCAGCTTGACTCAGGTATACGCGTGTCTCGTGCCGATGCGCAGCCTCTGCCATTCACGCTGTATGACTCCTGTACTTAGTATAAATACAG